GGGGAGCGGAGACGCAGAGCCTGGCCGCGGCAGAAGACACGCAGCCGATGAAACCCTCACGGAGAGACCAGCCCGGAGCGGCCCGCAGCTGGGCAGAGCCGTGCTGGGGTATCACCGCGCCGCGAGAGAACCCTGGGACGGGAGACGGAGCAGGAGAGCAGGCACAGGCCAGGCCCCGGGGCTGGAGCCATCCCGCTGAGAGAGACACGGCACTGGCCCCTGCTGCTTGTGCCACCAGCGACTCCCGGCCTAGGGTCTGGGAACAGGGGACATGTCAGGAAAGGCATCCTGCTTTGCAGCTAGAGAGGAGGAGGAATGGCAACGTGGCGCTTCGAAATCCAGAAATTCCAGGTCTCAATCTAGCAAGGCATTGGGCTGATCCACGCGGGTTCAGCAACGGGACGCAACGTGTGACTACGTCCCCTCACTGCGGGGACAGGGGCACCCCAGAACCTGCCTCCTCCCTGCTAGCCACCCTCACCATCACGGGAGCGAGCGCCCAGGCTCACGCCAAGCAGCCGCACACACCTCGGAGCACAACGCCAACGCCAGCGTCCCTGCGGCGCGGCCCGCTCGTGGGGCTCAGGAAAGCTCAGTGCCAGGCACGGGCATCGTCTGGAGGCAGCGGAGAGGGGCAGGGACCAGAGCCAGACTCAGGGAGACCCTTGGCAGAGGGCACTCAGAGAGAGGGGGTCGTTAGCTGGAAAGGCAGGTGGATGAAGATGGAGGAGGAAGAGGAGGAGGAATGCCAGCCCCGCAGGAGAAGCGACCCAGAGCCCGTTCTCCGGGAAGCAGCCAGCTCGGGGCGTTTCGCTGGAGGACACACCAGGGGACGAACCAAACCACAGCAGATCCTCCGGCTGCTGCCGAGGAATGTGCAAACACAGCGCAAAGAGACAGCCGAGACCACCCGCCGAGCGGCTGCGGGGCACGGCCTGTCCCGCAAGGTATGGGTGCAACCGAGACGACACGAGGTCCAGCCTCAAGATGGTGAAGGGACATCAGCAAACAGAGACTCCAGCTCTCACCTTTCGGGGTTCAGGAAAGCTCCTTTCCAAATTTTTTAAAAGCAAAAGGCAACGGTGGGTTTACCTAGCGCGAGCCACCACTTCCCGCCCTCAGATCCTCCATCTACCTTTGCCAGACATACCAAGAGCTGAGCGCATCCGAGTCCTGGGGATGAGCCAGGATCTGCAAGGAAAGCGTTTTGTGAGATCACGTCTGCACAGGAAAAGATTTTCTCATTTTGAAACTTCTTCTGCAATTCGCAAAATTACAGTACTTTACAATACAAAATGTCTCCATTCAGTATTACGTCATTTTACTCCTTCTGGGATTATAATAATTATTAAAAACACACAACTTTCTAGAAAGGACAGGAACACCACGAAAGAGAGCAGAGAGTAACGGGAAAGGCTGCTGCAGTATTATCAAAACCAATTTAGTGCAAAGGAGCAGGGGACTTCCAAGAACGGCTGGTGAAAAGTGTTCTTTGTATGCTCGCTTGGAGAAAAGGCATAGATTTAACCTCTGAATGAGATCAGGCTGCCAGCTTCTATACTGAAGCTTAGAACATCAACACAAAAGGACAAAAACACAATATGCATGGCCATTAAAAAATAATATTA